CAATCGGGCGTAGGAAAAACGAGATATTCCATGCACTAAAATACAAAGCATGGCTCAAAGTGACAATTATGAGTTTGAAGAATGCGAATGAGAAGATTTTACCTGGATCAGAGGTGAAAAGCGCCCCGAAGAGGAAGTCGAGTACAGCTAGGGCAAGGAATGCAAGGAGTAGAAGCTGTAAGCGGACCACCCATGAAACTCCAGCTGTGTTGATGACTGGAATGAAGCGAGCTCAACAGCGGTAACAAATTAATTTTGAGATCAATGTACGATATCCAAAAAAATTTCAGACTTAAGAATTGAAAAAACGTACTCGTAAGAATAGCTAGTGTCGCGATAGCAATCACTTTCGTAAGCACGCGACTGTCGGAGTCAAACAAATGTGCTACAGATTCGGCAAAACCGACTGCGACTAACCCAGTTGCGACTGCCTAAATTAATGAAAAAATGTTTGATAGTAATTTCAAGATTTCACCAAGAACCTACCTGACCGAGAGCATACATCAACCCAACTGCTCCACCAACTCGTCCACCAAGCACATGTGAGACAAGGAAGTAGATACCACCACTCTGAAATTTGTTATTTATTTGTGTGTGTTTTGACTAAAAAAATTGGCTAAATTACGGCAGCACAAGCAGAAAGAACACTTTTAAACGAAATGAATCAATCGAAAATGTAATTTGGAAAAACAAAAAAATCAATAGTGATAGTGACCTGTATCTGACATCGTTCAACGATTCCGATAGCTGAAAATACGGTGATCAACGCCAGCGCTGTACAGATAGCCAGCAGCAGAATCGCGTTTGCTACTCCGGCGGTTCCCTGAAATGTGATTTCTAAGGAAAGCTTCTAAAATGTCCAAAATTTGTCTTCGAAAAGCGTAGAATTATCCTCGTCATCAGGTACAAAAATCAGCTTCCATTTCCGCACAAAATCTTTAAATTTTGTTTAGAACATGATTTCTTCTATTATTGCCATATTGACAACACTGTAATAATCTCATACGATGACGCAAAGATCTTTTTTTCATAAAATTTGAAAAAAAATCCATTATTTTTCCTCGCGTTCATTCGGCGACATGTTTTCGGTTGCAATAGTATAGCGTGCCCATGGCTGGTTTGTTTGCAAGTTGAATTATACACGAAGAAGTTTTGTTTTCGGTGAAGCTGACTTTTGGTAGCCCAATGCTTGTAAACAAACTTCATACCCACTTCGGGAAGTGAAAGAGTTGACTTTTAACGTACAACAATGTTTTGGTAACGAAGATAATCCCGTAGTAGGCATAATCGAAAAATGCTGTCATGATAGGTACTTGGAGAAATTGTCAAATTTTTGATAGGGAAATTGACGTTACTATTAGTACTTTTCCTTCTTAAATGCTCTAAAAATATAACTGCATTAAAGCATTAAAGGAGACATCTCTGTATTCTCAGTCACTAAATATCACCTTTGGATATCGCGGCGGAGAGTGACTTTTTCAAGAAAAGTGGACATAAATAGTACCAGCGAAACGGGAATGTTAAATAGAAATTATTAGTGTGCTTATAAATAATAATATTAACAATAATAATGTTCAATATAATATAATAGATTGTGATTTTCTATAGCGAAAATTTTCCTGTTAGAAAGGGGGTGAAACGTTTCATTTTATCATTAGAAAGAGGGTGAAACGTTTCATTTTATCACAATATATTCTCAAGATTTCACGAAAATTCTAATTACATTTTTTTTACTTATTGTAGTTTGAGCTTTGAGTAGTTTTTTGGTAGTCGCAATTTCAGGTATTTTTCCAATTATTTGATTTCTGCCGAACTATTTTTTAATTCACTTTGATTGATAGAAAGTGGGCATGTATGCTTTTCCAACATATTCTTCTCTTGCCCAGCATAAAAGAATAACTAAAGTGACTGATTATGGTTATTTTGCCTATTGACAGCTAAGCAAAGATGATCACTCCTCTCTAACGAAAGATGATTTTTCCACAATGCCTTTATTTTTGTACTTGCTTGAGTATCGCAGAAGTACAAATTTCCGAGACACATAAGATTATTGGAGGTTCAGTCCCATATTTCGTACTGAGGCTATATAATCTCACTCTGTAATGCTATCTCTCACCATTTATAGCATCATGAAGTGCATAGTCACACAAATTGCCCTAATGAAACTGCGAGTTGACATCGACCAGCTATGGCTTTCGGAATCCCACGCATCCCTTTGGCCACGGCGATATGCATAATGAGCATGAACATTTCTCTTATTCAACACAAGGAGAGGCTTGCCGGATAGCGTAAATGAAATCTGAGCGTGCAGACGAGACATTAGCACGAGCACTCACCACAATCCAACCCATTCGTAGGAACACGATGATTCCGAAAATGTTGACCATCACCGTTGTGAATACGCCATCCCACGTTCCGAACAGAACGGGCTGGTTGAGAAGCAAGTTTCTGGAATTTCAAGATCAGTTTGAATTATTCACTCAGTTTCTCATAAAGTGCTGTTTTGAGTGCAAAATCTTAGGTATCATACGGAATTCCAACTTGAACCAGCGGCTCTCGGATACATTTTTTCAATCTTGGAGCTTTAAGATGAACTTGATGTGATTGTAGTAAAATAAAAGTCTATGGAGCTGTTTCTTTTCGTTCAAATCCAAGTATGTCTTTTATGCTAGTTACATAGCTCCTAAAGGATAGAGTTGTTTGAGTTTTTCATTGTTGAGGGACAGAAACACTCGACAATAGGTGTTGACAGGCATGCAAGAGGCTTGCTCAAAAAAGAAGACTTGAGACGAAAAGCCATTTAAGACGGCAAAGTGTGTTTTTAGGGCGTGTTAGGATATTCTTTCGATTGCTCATTTTGAGAGTGCAGGAGAAGACATTAGAGTAAAGAAGATATTCAGTGCGAAATTAAGAATAGAAGTTTTAGATTAAAAATTAGAAAAAGAAAAGACTTTGCAGAGGACTCTCGCGGGTGGCTGGCGCTCTTTAATCGAAAAAAATGAATTTACACCTACTCAACGATATTCTTGCGTGAAAGTTTTTTTTCGAAAGTATGTACATTTTGCAAAAACGTAGTACTGACACATATGCGATATGCAATCAGTGATTCAAAGAAAATAAGATGGAAGCTTTTTTTCGGGTAAATCCAAGCAGGGTAACTACTCTACAAACCTTTGCCACCATGGTATGTTCTCTTGCCCGCTGGTCTCGTGCGCATATAACGAATCTGGCTCCGGTTCCCCAGTTGAGGCCATGCCTAAATTTACGCTCTTAAGTCCGCCATAGAGGGCATGGAGAAGCTAGCTTTGTGACGCATAACAACATTTAGAAAAATGGACAAAGGTGACCGAACTAAGGTGGAAGAATGCGTGAGTCCGCTGGTGTGAGTACACGGCAGAAGTACTATCTATAGAAGCTATTCAAATCAAAAACCATGATTGAAAGTGCTTGCGCGCCTAATTAGTGGAGAAAATAAAAAATTCAAATCTTGATTGCGTGTCCTTTACACTCCATTGCTCATGAGCTCCCCTCACTAAGAGCTAAGCGTGGGCTAAAAACGCTACTAACAGCAACTAAGCCGGCCGTAAGTGAAGCGTGAAGTCGAGCGCAGAAAAACGGGAACAAAGCCGTGAAGTGATGAAAACCTTCCAAAAGTAGTTGAGAGCACTTGTGGCGGATGTACTGGCTGTAGAGCTCTTGTAATTAAGCAGCAACGAGCAGCGACTCGTCGCCCGAGCC